GACTTCATTGGATTAACTTTTAATATAGTTGAATTAACTTTTAATATAGTTGCGATATGAACTTGATTAAAACACGTTCCTATATAGGGTTGCATTTTAATTAAACTCAATTACAATGCAATACAATGTAGAATTGCATTTTAATTAAGTTTAATTAAACAAGAGTTGAATATCCCGTGACTGAACATAGAAATGTTTGCAAAGCTTAGGTTTAGTATTGAGGGAAGGTATGGTACAATTATATTAATATTAATATAAACTGAACCATACCTTCCCTCGATACTAAACCTAAGCTACACAAAACGTATTAATTAATAATCGAATTAACTATTAATATAAATTATGTTTTCCGAGGACTATGAAAAAGGAAGGTGTGCATGTCCTCGAAAGTTGGTATATATCTGTATTTTCGTCTTCGGAACATATAGCAATCCAAGTACACACACACACACACACACACACATACAGACAGGGTAACTGCAAAGACTCCCATTGTGTGCTTTGCACACGGGAGTCAAAAACACCACCAATGATGACACTGACCTTGTTGGAAAAATGAGATCTTGACAATTTGAAACTGAATCCAAAAGCCCTCCATGAATGACAAGAGGCTGTCTGACCCTGAATGGGCTCAGGGTGAAATCATATATGTATAGCCAGGAAGGGGAAGGCAGCCAAAAAAGAGCAGCCAATGCGGAAAATGAAGAGGAGAAGGTATAAAGATAAGCAGTGTTCTCCACGGGTTGAAAATTTAGCCTGGCGGGCACAATGGCCCAATAAGGGGGTGAACCAATGGCTAAATAAGTAGGGGAACCAATTGAATAGAAACTACCGGTAACACTTTTTGACATAAGTAATGTTTCGAAATATTTTGGTTTGTTACTGTACCTGGATTCATTTTGTTGGAAGCCAATCCTATATGCAGACATAATTGGACAATCACGTCCATCTTTATGTTCATTATTATTAGGGTATGTTAGAAAAGTAGCATATCCATGAAATTTGTCTGTAAGAACAGAAAACACACCCATAATAGAATTTAAATTTTAATAATCAAAGCAAACATGATATGAGTGGAAAATTTCTTTATGAATGATAGGCATTAGACATGATTAGTTATATTTTAATATTGAAACTGTCATAAAAATCATGTTTTTATTCTTTCATAAAAATTGATTTCGACCCTCTAAAATAAAACTTGATTCTATAATCTTTATTTTTTTCAGACCTAGGCTATGGATGTGCAATTTTGCGGGACATATTATTGAGAGGTTTAATGTAAAAACAAATATATTACAGAAGCTATACTATTTTATGGTAGCTCATTACATATCATTGGTCAGTTTCTAGCCATACATATGAATGATAGTCTATAGTGAAGTTATTTTTCTGAACATCATTTGAAATTTATATAACATTTAAAAAAAAATGTTTGCGCCTTCATTAGATTAAATGTAAATTTAACAATTTACCTAATACCACACACTCGTTGACAGACTTATTTCTGTCCAGCTGCTTGGGGAGTATCTTTCTGATGCAAAAAGTGACAATGTTTCCATGGCAACCAACAGTATCTTCATCATCGGCAGCACCGGGAGAGGAACCAACGGCATTACTTTCGAAACCTGTATGGTCTTTTAGGCTTTTTGTTGAGAAATCTTCACGGCAGAGTAATTCTGAATGTTGTCGTATTAATGCCAGTACGGATTCCGGTGGGAGATCCATTCTGAGAAACAAAACAGCGCCGCTGAGTCGTCGATTGACAACATGTGGTTTTTGTAGCCAGAGTTCAATCGCTTTCCAGAAACCTGCCTTTTCAGCTTTACACTCTAACACACCCCTATCTACCCATTGATCGTCTGTCAACAGCAGTCCCTCCATCCTAAAAGTTGTCGGTTGTGCGACGTCGGATATATTCAAACATATTCAGCAAACATTTCAAATTTGATGTCTTTCATGGTGGTCGCCATTTTTTAACCTTTGACATAAACACGGAAGTAGAACGGAATTGTGGGTCTACAGCGGGAACAAATTTTGAAGTATAAATTATGATTCGGATCACGGTAACTTTTTTAGTAACCGTGTTCGGATGTTGCACGGATATTACGGATGGAACTCAATAACATAGCTGGGGTAACTTTCCGTGCAGATGCATTCACGTTGATTCAGGATACATTTGGCTGTACACAGGGAACTGAAAGCAACAACGCTTTGAAGTCACTCAACTTGTGACTTGTGTGGACCATCATTCTTTACGTGGTCCGAGGCACCATGCAACGCAGACACGAGTGGCCGAACACACATATAGGAAATTAAGAGTTTGACGTAGCATGATAAATGTAACTCTCCACATAAACAAGAAAGATAGAACAGGATTACCAGCCTGACACAGTCTTGTACATTGACACGACATTCCAGGTCGAGGTTAAATTTGTTTACAAACAAAGACACGCACAAAGTTGAGACAATATGTTCTGGTTATTGCCGTTTATGTGCTTGGATTGTTCATCGTTGATTCCGTTACTATGGATTGTTGCACTGCCATTTTATGCAGCATTTTGCGGACCAGATTCAGTACTCCGGCTTTCCATATTGATGGGAGTGCATTCGTCTGTCTCCTCACTCCTCCCAGCTGTACTGGTGAGTACTGAATTTAATAATAAACGAATATTATAGTGAAAAGTATTCCACAATATTTTGATCAGTCTCATGACAAATACATATTTAATAATAATAATTATTATTATATCTTTATTACATTTTAATGAATAGTGACAGTTTAAAGTAATTAATACAGTATACAAAAGAATAAAAGAAAATAAACACAGCAAATCTGAGGAAGATTTCCATGTTTATTGAATGAAGTTTTAAATAATGTATTACCTGTCTGATCAGGTGTATACCTTGAGTGTTCAGAATTGTAATGAACTTGTTTGTTTTAATAGAAAGGTATAGACATGACATATAAGCTGTACAGCATAAGACAAAACTTGTGCATGTCTCAACCAAATCTTTTTAAAAATCAAAGTCATGCATTTCATTTCCATCCATTCATTTTGGAATTTTCTATCCAATGTTTGACTTCCGATTGCTATTTCCTAAAAGTCTACAAGTAAAGAGTAATTTTGAAAGACTATGTCTAAGCTTCAAACAGTTTAACTCACTTGTCAATGTCTGACTATATACAAAGTGACCAAGAAAATGTGAAGTGAAGACGTGCAAAAAGTAAGCTAGAAGTCATTTACCCTGTTCTGCTATCCTTACCAGTAAATCTATCACTTGATTCTGTGTATTTCTCTCTAGGTATCTACTATACCATTACTACAAGTAGGTCTGATGTGTGTTCTGCTATCCTTACCGGTAAACCTATCGCCTTATCCTGTTGTATGGATGTATGATAAGTTAATATGGCTATCTGAGCCAGTATTACTTACCATAGAAGCAATACAAGTTGTAAGATTTATCATGTATCAAAGTTCTAAACTGATAGAAAGAATTGAAGAAGAACCATCTTTTATAAAGGTAAGACATCTACAAAGTTATGGTGAATGAAAACAATATGACAAGACCTCAGTACATATTCGTATCTTACAAAGCATGTACCTCATTCATATTCTACCTTTTTTGTAAAAGCATGATGTACCAGCTCAGTGTTGATATGTTGCCAGAGTTTTGGTGTGTTGTGTTTTTGTATCATTTCATCTCTTTTTAAATTGTACTGTTTTGCATTCGAACAGAATGTTTATTCCTATTCTTGTCTTGTTTTATTCATGCATATTATTTCACTATGTTATTTCAGTCCTTTATTCTAGGAGTTGCCGCTGCTTGTTACGCATTCTCAGTATCGCTGACACTAACGATTAAGTCATCTTCATCATACACTGTGCCCACCTGGTAAGTTGAATATGTAGTACTGTAGTTTTTAGTATTGGTTTAAAGTTAAATGAACTACTACTTGTACTTGGCCATTGTACTACAGTGTCAAAGTTCAAAAGTCATTTCATTCCAGGTTGATAGTGATGGTATGGTTGATTGCGATGTCTATACTTATTGCTGGAATTATTAGTGAAATCGGTAAGTACAAGATCATATTTCATGAAAGGTGTTATCCTCTGTCATCACGTATTTTGAATTCCCACAAACAACCTTAGGTGAGCAGTAAAGGGAATATTTTTCTGTGCTCCCATGACAGCCAATCAGATTCACACATTACAGGTAGACACTTCTTGACAATGACAGCCAATCAGATTCACGCATTTCTGGTAGACATATTCTTATACTGGTAGACATATTCTTACATCTAACTCCATTTTGGTACAATAACTTTTCAAGAAGACATGATAAGTGATTGTATTCAGTAAATAAGTAGTTTAATATGATTGATTTCACTGTTTGACTATTTTATCAGAGAGGAAGATGTTTTAGAAATTTTGTATGTATTTGTTGGAAGAGAATAGTATTGACATAAGCCTAATATAATAAAGCATTGTGCATCTCTGTTCAGCATTCTGATTTGAACTAGGGCATCATTTGGCATATGGTTACAGGTGTGTCTGTAAAAGTACTTTTTTATCAAGATGATCCTGTTGAAATTATTTGTGCATAAAACTGAAGATAAAAAAGCCATTCATAATAAAGCTGAATAGAAGTCCATCACTGTTTTTGAACTCTTTTATATTTGTATGCATTCAGCTCTACAAGGGTGTACTAGGATATTGACATGCACAGTTATGTGGAACAATTTTTGTTTCATAATTTATTTGGTGTTGTATTTATCTCCGCTGTTGACGGCATTGAATAGATCTAGTCATATTACTGATTGTCCATTGTTGTTTGTCATTGGTGACAACGGTCTGTGTCAATGGAGCTGTTGGTATGGGTGATTGTCCGCTGTCATCTCACATCAACTAGATTTGAATATTTCATAATGATATCTTATACTATATACTGTATTTTAAGCAAATATTTTTGTCATTTTTGGCCGAAAATGCTCTTCGATAACTGCTGGTTTGATTGATTGATACTTAGTATATATCTACATGTACCTTGTGTGGACCTCTCTCAGATTTGTTTGATGCAGATATTTTTAATTCTCTAATTTTAATGAACATTTTTGTGATTTTTGGTAAAAAGTGATATTTTCAACTTCTTGTTAAATACCCATGTAGTTACCGCAGGTGGCCTTTCTCAGATTTGTTCATTTCATGACAAATATCTACAAATCTCTAATTTTAATGAATATTTTAGTAAAAAAGTGATATTTTCACCTTCTCCTTGAAAACTCCAAGTTCAATTGCTTTGATATTTGATATATAGTTATCAGTTTTGTTCATTCCATGACGATATCTTCAAATCTCATATTTTTATAAATATTTTTGGCCTCACGGATTTACAGTTCACTGATTCAGTTTCGTTTCTTTTGTGATGATACCCTCTAGTCCCTTATTTTAGTCAATATTTCTGTAAATTTTGGTGAAAAATGCTGTTTTAACTTTTAAACAACTTGTCTGTTAGCCTTGATACTTTATATGTAGGTGCTTTAGGTAAGATTTGTTGATTTTCATGGTGATAATTTAGTTCTCTTAATTTTTTTTTTTAATTTTTGGTAATTTCTGACATTTTTTAAAAATCACCAATCCACTTCTGATAATTTACATGTAGGTTTCTTGGATGAATCACTGTCAGACTGATATGATTCTTTCCTCTAACAGATTAATTCATTTAGTGTAGCAGAGCTTGTTTAATTCACCTTGTGCAAATAAAAACATCTTTGTTTGTTCCATTATTTTAGCATCGCTGTATTTGCTATATTAGTGTTTGTGTTGACGTAAATGTGCATCTTTCGTAAAAATAGCTTGCATTTTAATTAATGACCCTCGTAATAAATGCATTATTTGGGAGCCAAAACATTGCTTTTATTGCATATCGCCCTCTCGTGGTCAACAATATATAATTTATCTGTATTTGTTTTATAATAAAAAAATCAAGTTGTGGTTGGATAACTAGCATTGATTGATGCTGTTAATGGTATGGAAAAGTAATAGAATGCAGTAAAATTGTTGCTTTCCAATATCATCTTCTTGCAGTACTATATTTGACTATCATGACGCTAATCTTTTACCTAACATCTGTATTTGATTTTAATGTACCGGTAATTTATTTGTAGGATTGATAAAGTTGTTTAAACCATCTATGCCGAAACATTAACTAAATGAATTTTATCTCCATACTTATTGTGCTGCTACTATTTTGTTTCATTTTTGTTTGGCAGGTAATATATTAGACGTGTCTGTTATTACGTTAGTCATGTTTGTAATATTATGGGCTATGCAGCAAGAGGTGATCATCAGTAAACAACCGATTTCAACCCCTGATACGTGGTTCAGGTAAGACTATATGGTGCTTCCTGATACCGTAGAAAACTCAATTTTCAATTTAGTAGAGTTAATTTCAGTACGTTGCATAGAATACTGAGTGAAGATGAGTTTTAGTGTAACATCATAAATGTACAATGCGTTTTAATATGCAATCTGATTAAAATAAGAATTTAGTATGGGCTTATTTTATTTTATTTTTAAATATGCATTTAATTATTTTTTTCATATTTTTATTTTATTTTCACAATATTTATACTGAAAGTTTTGTTGCTTTTGTGAAATCTGTGCAATCATTAAAAATAACAAAAAATAAGATGTATGCAATACAAATTATAAAAAAGTTGAATATTACTTATTATTATACATCTGTCATCGTAACACCATAAGTTACAGCGTGCCGTAATTTTGCGGTATTTTACGTATATTTTCATCCTACCATATTAGGAAATACGAATTCCAAATATGGAATGATTCCACGCGTAAGCGTCCTCTAATAATAAAAACAAACATGCCATCGGGGTTTGACCAGACTCCACACAATGAAGTTCGCTGATTCTGTTCTAAACATTTTGGATTATGGCATTCGCATGATGTATCCTTGGAAGGAAAAGATGTATAATAATAATGTTATTATGAGAATACCTCAAAGTATGCACTCAAACTGTACGTTGCGCATCGACCTTTGCTGTGGTATTCTCGTAATAACCTCATATTATTATTACTTATTATTATTATTATTACTTATTATCACTTATTATCTCCAATAGATGCTTATGTAAACCAAACATTGTATTTATTGTCTATTGGGTCATTCAAATTAATTACAAAATGAACACCGTACAATATATCAGGCTTGGTATTTTCACTGGATATAGTTTTTTTGGATTAATTACTTCAATGGAAACTAAATTTCATGTGAAAAAAGAAAAGAAAAAAAACACAGTATGCATTATTACAATTATCAGAAAATAAGCAGATCACAATAGTTTTGCCAGTGGTGGCGCTGTTCACATTTGTCTTTTATGGGGTTAACAATGAAGCACATGTTAAAATGAGGTGACAGGTGGCAATATATAGCAGTCTATACTTGCAATGTCTAGTCACCTACTTAAGTCATGCATAATAGACACACATTATGAGGTAGAAAGACTTTTCTGGCTACTTTCCAAATTTGACTGTCTACTTAAAAACTCTGATTTTTATTACTGTGAGCAGCAGGATGGGAGAAGGTCCAGATTTCAGGATCACTTGCAATTGGAGTGAAATTGGAGCTCCTCAAACCTTCATTAAAAAAAAAAACTATTTAAACTTTTATCACATCACGCAAACATGATACATGGTTTTACACAAGTATTCTGTGATGCAATGAAGCTTGTATTAACTATTGCAACTTACACTGGCAAATTTATACCCTGTAATCAACATGGCAGCAATCCATTTGCTTCAAAATTAACTGAGGAATTATAAAAAAAATGCATAAATATGTCAGGTAAAAACATGTTAAGATATTTGTACATAATTTGAAATATAACTTTCTGAACTTTTAGATTTGTGCAATAATAGAGAGAAATAAACATTCTTTGTATTTTCTGAGCAAATCATGTGTGTAACACAATAGAGTGGAAAGAGCACATTCGTATGCTTGTTTCCATAGAAACCACAACTATTTGGATTGAAATAAATTTCAACTGTCGTAACTAGTCTTCGAACTATAAATATATCCTGGAAAATAACTATATTGCACAACCTTTTAGCGTCCTGATACTTTTGTGGATGACAAATTTTCTATTATTGAGAATTTTTCATTTTTTTTTTACAGAAAAGTTTAAAAAAACATGACAAAATTTGTATATATTATTACTGTATATGACAACACTTCACCCTGATAGTGTTGGGTTGTATAATCTTTAGGCTTCATGCAACTGACATATTCCTGTTTCAAAATATGTCTCAATGCCATTCATTCTTTATATTTGCAGTGAATCACTGGATAGAAGATCCTTTCTGCATCTATTTTATTCCATGATCATTGCCAGTATAGGTATGTATGTGTTCATTGTTTTGACAGTATCTATAACAAGATCTGTTGGGTTTTTTGCATGCTTGATAAAATTCATAAGCATAAATTTTATTGTAATGTTGTAATTTGACCTCAGATTAGATGTCCGACTGGTAGCCATTTTTTATTTTCACATGTTCAACACTGAGACATGTCAGCCTGCATTGAATTAATCCAAAAACATCATAAATATTATATACATGTTACTTCTAATAGCAATCTAATCATTTTTAGTATCCAAAATTACCAATGATAATTTTTTAATGAATATAAATGAATTATGAACAAATGCAGGTGTACCAGTCAAAGGGGCATTTTTTGTTTTGCTTCCTCAATACTTTCTCTGCTATACCACTAGAG